ACATTTTCTGTAAGATCATTAATGTATGGTAAAAATAAAAGTGGCCCCAACACTGATCCCTGTGGTACACCATACTTCACTTTCCTACATGATGAATTATAACTGGTTTTGACACTGCCATCACTGTTTTTTATTTCTACATACTGGAGTCTGTTTGACAGGTAAGACCTGAACCACATGTTTGGCACCCCTCTTATGCCGTATGAGTCTAGTTTCTCTAAAAGTATATCATGGTCTATTACATCATATGCCTTTGATAAATCAGAAAATAATCCTATGGCATATAGGCCGTTATCTAAGGCCTCCTGTATACTTTCAATAAAAGACTGACTTGCTGTGTCGGTTGATTTATTCTTTCTGAAGCCATTTTGGGCCTCTGTTAGTATATTATTTTGAATTAAAAAAGGCATTAGCCTATTATACATTTTTTCTAATATTTTGTAAAAGGCTGATATCAGTCTGTGGTTTTTAATATCGTGATATTCACCTTTTTTACGCAGAGGTATCACTTCAGCTAATTTTAATCTATCTGGGAAGGTGCCTGAGCTCAATGAGGCATTGAAAATATGAGCCAGTGGTCTTTTTACATAAATTATACATTTTTTAACAAGATATTCTGGTATCTCGTCATATCCTGCAAATAATTTACCTTTTAGACTATTTGTTACACACTCTGTTTCATATTCAGTGACTGGATGGAAAAATATGGTATTAGGGCAGCAGTTTATCCTTTGTTTCTGCCACTGTGTGTTTTTGTTATTTTTGTTGTTTTGACTTAAAAGGTCATCAACTATTTCAACAAAGAAATTAAATATTAACATATCTGCCACACTTTGCGGATCTGATATTTTTGTACTGCTAAACACTTGGATTTTCTTATCACCCTTACATGAGTTACATGATTGGCAGGGGAAACCGAAGTACTTGGAGAAAACCCACCCTAGCACCCCTTTGTCCACTGCAAATCTCACTTGACCAGACCTGGGATTGAACCCGGGCCACTGCAGTGGGAAGCCAGTAACTAACTGCTTGAGCTATGGTGCAGCCAAACAGGCACTGTGTAAAACAGTATATTGTCTGGCAATGTGCAGCATATTGTAATTATTCTTTATAATACATTTTAATGTTGTACATTATCCAATAATGTGAAGTAAGTTGTAAACAAGTTTATATAGTGACTTAGTTTAATTACATAAAATGTTGTTTATTTTTATAAAATTTGATAATTTGTGTCAGCTGGAGATGATGCAGGACATTAAAAGCCACTCTGAACAGTAGCAATAGAAGATACATTTTGTGTGTTAATGGTTTGTAGTTTCTAGAGACAAATTTACATGTTCCATGCCATCTCTAATGGTGCCCAGTGTCTGTCTTATTCTTGCAGGTTCATGTCCCATTGTCACAGAGAGGACTTGGAGCCAGAGGAGATCAACAGGGTCACATGATAATTATTGCTGAGGAGTTGGTAGCATTGAAAGATGAAGTCATCATGCAGTTTAGTGGCACAAAGTTGGATAAGAAGAAATTTATTTTTTGGAAGTCAGACCCATTTTTGGTGTTCCACAAGTCATTGGAATCTGGTGATTATGCTGTAGTGCACAAAACAGAGGTAATTATTACATTGTTAGCTTCAGAATTAGATATATCGGTGTTGCAAGTGACCCTGTCATAATTATGGCA